CCAGGCACAATTGCGGGAGCTGTGGTCCCCACCCCATGGGGCTTTGGGGGGCCCATCCACCTCGACACCTATCCCAGGAAATCGTCGGCACGATAGTTCTCGCCGGGAGGGTACTTACGCAGGACGAAAGATGTTCCTCTTGAGGTGCATGTGGCGATGATGAGTTGGAAGTTAATGACCGAATCCCCTTCCCCCGTAGAATCTTTACGCGGGCGGGTTCTGGGGTCCGCGGATCCGATTTCCCCTGGTCCCCCGTTTTAATCAAATACTATACATTTTAAACCGGGTAACCGTCGGACCAGTCGTAAAACATAAAACCGAACACGGATCCAGCAAATCCGGAATCGGGTTTTCGCGGACGGAAATCGGATCCACCGAAACAAACACCAAAGCCACTTTTGGAGCCGCGCGAACTTCATGGGATCCGACGGCGGTTATCTGGTACGCGTTTGCTCAAGACTTCAACCCTTCAAGAGGGACAATTTTTCGTCCTGGGGATGTGAGGAGCTCATTTACCCGAGCTGTGGCTGGTCGGTTGAGTCATCGATGGCGCTGGTCAAGAGCCGATTGGCTGCCTGCTGCGTGCCTGCTGCCTCACCGAGGCGCGGGCTCCCAATACGTGGACGCCGTCGGCGCTCTGGCCCACCGGCGCTCTGAGCCCATCGAGCCCCCGGAGCTGATCGCACTCCCAGGCCTGGCGCAGAGATCCTTGTCGCCGTCTGACAGCAGGCCGGCGCTTTGATGCTCTCTCCTCATAGTCCTTCCGAGTCTCATCCCCCAGCTCCTCCTCAGCTCCCTCCTTTTCAGCTTCATCCCTCCTCGTCCCCGAGAGGAGGAGGAGGAGGAGGTGGAGGAGGTGGAGGAAGAGGAGGAGGAGGTGGCACCGATCCTTCTCGCTTCCGCTTCGCTCCTCATCCTCCCAATCAATCCTTCCCAGGCTGAGGTGCCCTTCCTCCCCAGGGTTGTTGCCCTCTGAGCCCATTCGGCTTCTGAGCCCTTGCGGCTGCCGAGAGCATCCTAGATCGAGCCCATTCGGGGCGCAACTGGGTGCAATCGTTCCCTTGCTCAGCTACCGAAAGGGCCCATACGCCGAGTGGGCGCAGGAGCGGCTTCTGGGGCCCGTGGCATTCCAGGCTCCAGGATCGCCCTCCGACAGGACTCCGCCCTCCGTCAGGGCGGGTGGGGGTTCGCCTCCCGCCCGTCCAGCCCCTACTCTCTCGCATCCGAGGAGGCTCGGGGGAGGAGACCGGATGGATCTGCGGAGATGGAGGTCGGGCGTCTTGAGACGGGAGTCGATGCATAGCCAGAGCGCCGCATTTTGCAGGATCCTGCAGAGCCTACTGATCCAGGTCTGGATTGACCCTGGTCAGTAGATCCCCGAGAGGGGGAGAAGGAGGGGGTCATGGAACCGGCTGTAGGCGACTGGGCGTCTAGACCTAGAGTGATGTTCCTGTATTGTGCCACTCTGGGCTCAACGGTGCCCGAACTCATTTTTGGCCTTTCGGGCCCCAACCCGCTTTGGAGACTAAGTCCAGCTGAAAGATTGGGTTGCGCTCTTACGATCGCCCATGTGGAGGAGGAGTGTAAGGAGGATGCGGGGAGGCGTGAGGGAAGATCGGGGGTTCGAGGAGTAAGGAACGGAGAAAGAGTGAGGGAGAGGGGGGAGTGTCAAGTTAGGTGCGCTCGCGTCAACATCTGACATCCTACCCCTCCCTCCCATCCCTTGTATATGGAGGAAGCGGAGAAAGCGGGTGCTGGGACAGGGCATGGAAGTGAGGATCATGTGTGGGAGGAGGACGGTGTGGACTATGAGAAGGACGAGCAGTAACAGGAATGAGATCGAAGAGGACGATGTCGGAAGACGTGCCAGTCCGAGGATAATTAGCCCGCCTCCAGGTGCGAGTCGCCAGACAGGGACAGGCGACCCGCCTTCCTGTTCTTGCTTTCTTGTGCTTCTCTCATCCTAACACGCATCTTCCAGGAGTGGTCGGATGATGGAGAGGATAGGAGGAGGAGGAGGAGGAGGAGGAGGAGGAGGAGGAGGAGGAGGAGAATGAGGAGGAAGGACGTCTCAGAAGGCTCTCGGTCGGGGTCGAGGGAAGGGAGGGACATTTGCTAGACACTGGAGGGGATCGCAGAGTTCATCCACCCTTTCTCTGCTCCTTCCTCCTCATCCCGTGATCCCCATCCCCCGCCGCTGGTCTCTCCTTCTGCGGCCCCTTTTCCGTGCGCGACCTCCCGACACGTTCTGTCGCGTGGCATGTCGTGCGTGGTGCGCTGCGGGAGCTGTTGGGCCCGGTCGCCGTGCTGAGAAGAGCCGTCCCTCCTGTGTGCTTTCCTCGTTTGGTCGTCACCGGGCACGGCTGGCAGTCCCCACTGCGCAATCCCTCCCAAAGAAATCAGCGCCTCCTCGTTTACTCGGGCCGAACGCAAGTGGGGGGATAGGGAAAGGGGGGGTTACGATATCTGCTGCATGCAGCCGGTTCCAGCCCCACCGAGGGGCCCTTCCTCGATACATGGCCGCCTCCGGCGCCGGGAGGCGCCGGGGAAATCAGCTACGTGAGTTGATTCTCGAACCCCTCCTTTGCTATCCCCCCCTTTCGCCCGGCCCGATTTTCTCCCCGCTCGCTCTTTCCCACCCTCCTCCACCCCGTCTCCACTTTTTGCTGTGCCCTCCTGGGCCCCCTCTGTCGCCGCTTCGCACGCCTCCGCGCCTCCCTCCCCTCTCTCCCCTGCGCTGCTCCCTCATCGTCTTCCTCTGCGCAAGCAGGCTCCTGGACGAGGAAGGTGAGGATGGGCGCGGAGAGAGGGAGCGAGGACGAGGAGCGGCCGACGGAAGAGGATGTGTGGCAGGATGCGAAGGATGGCAAGGAATCTGTGATCAGACGAGCGACTAACGAGCGATGCAGACAGCCCTCGCGGGCTGTGCGAGGCCACCCTACCCAGGGCCAGATCAGACACACTCAATCGATGACCCCTACAGGGCCTCCTAGGTGGCGCACACCACGCAAGCCACCCTGGTGCAGCTGATGACGTCGGGCTCCATTCAGCAGTGCGTCTGATCGCAGCGCTCACAATTGATGATGCCGGTCACACCCTCCACTCTCGCAGTATCTGGCAACGCTTCACCGTGCCGTGGTCCTCGCAAGAGGCAAGGGTCGTCGGGCGCTGGTGGGGCTTCCCCCGCTGCCTCTTAGGACGCGGATGGCGATCAGGCCATGACCAAGCGGGCGAGAGGCAGGCGGAGGACAACGGGGAACAGGAGCGGGCTGGAGGGGCAGGAGCACGTGTGCGAGGGGGTGCGCGGGGGAGGGGGGGGGGGGGGCGCTTGGAGGGAGGAGCGGGCGAAAGAGACGGGGAGTACGAGCAGGGAAGGAGGAGGAGGAGCAGGAGGAGGAGGAGGAGAAGGAGGAGGAAGAGGAGGGAAGGAGGAGGAGTAGGAGGAGGAGGAGGAGGAGGAGGAGGAGGAGCCATTGCTGCGACGATCAGGATTGGAGACATGCCCAATTCGACCTTTCCTGTGTTGATGACCTCACTGTCTCCGCCACGATCAGGAGCCCATCTGCTGTGCAACGAGTTGTATTCGAAGTATCCGAGTCCGAGTACGTTGCGGCTTTGTCGCTAGGTCTCAGGCCGAACCCGATCAACACTAGGTTGCTTGTTTGTTTGAGAGGCACTGCTAGGTTTCATCTACCCCCTGCCCACTTCGCTGGTGTCTCCCCTGCTGGGTTTTGAGCCCCCCATCGTGACGACTCACAAGGTCTTAGGTGCTCAGGTCACGTCTTCTGGATGCATGGCCCGTGCAGTTACTGCTTGGACCGTCAAGGCTCGCGGGGCCCTGGGACCTATCAAGGCCCCCGTGGCCCAACGTCCCCTCTTGTCTCTGCGTGGTCTTGTGTCGTGGTTGGAGGCCCTGGCCCCGTCTGTTCTGTGCTCTGCTGCAGCTGTTTGTCCCCTTTCTCCCCCGCCTCCTGGCATGCACGACGGTCACGGCCCACTCAGCGTTGTACCGAGTTGCCTTCAATATGGCAAGTTTGATCAACGCGGAGGCGCACCAACGATCAGCGCAGATCTTATTTGAGGTGGATTGTTTCCTGCACAAGACATGACTGCTAATACGTTCCGCTATCCAGGTCGAGTACTGACATTCGCTCCCCCGATGGTAGAGGTGATTGTGGACCTCCATTGGTATGACCCCACAGCACGGGCGAACCAGCTACAGGGTGATTTCGAGTGGCTTTATGGCCTGTCCTCAATTTCCACACTGAACCTGCGAAACACCCCGACGACCAGACACGACAGGGAATGGTTCAATTTGCAAGGACTCACGATCGTGATTCCAATTGTCCCGCCCGTCCCCAGTGCGATTGCTCGTGCCAAGCCCTACTATAGCGACAGAGCCAACATATTTGCCTAAGAGCCACAGTTGGCTCAGTTTGCGAATGGCACGCTGCTCGAACCCCCTGGTGAGCGGACCCGCTTGTTTGTTAGTAAGTATTTCATTTTTCAGGCAATGGCGGTACACCAACTTTGAGCCCACACAGGCACATTTCGCAAAACCCTTGACTCCCCCACGTGCGTTGCGGTGGGCACGGTCTGTCAAGCTTGCTTGCAGGATTTTCATGTGGTCTTTCGCTTCGCCCAGCATTTGAGAGATGCCCCTTCGTGCAGGCTCACATGGGCCCACTCCGGCGCACGAGCAGGTCCTGAGGATGTAGAAGAGGCGAAGTACCCTCCCTCGTTGCCAGGCCTTGTGTGCGACGTATTCGTATTCATTCGTACATGTTTGGGGCCAGAGTACTCAAGCGCACGACCTTGCTGTGCGTGCATCTGGACGCGGCGAGATAATTCTTTGTGGCGAAGCTGGGCGACGGTCTTTGTACCCATGGCCGATCTCACGCCAGATCGAGGACTGGACGAGAAATGTGTGTGTGTGTGTGTGGATCGGCACGTACCAGTGTTGATCCCCCCGTCCCTCCTTGCTCGCAAGGCCGCCGCACCAATGGACAGTACATGCCGAGAGTGGACTCTGGTCAGAGGTGGCGTTGGAGTCTTGCGACGGCCGGGAAATACCACTGGGACTACGGAGATGTGTGGTCACTCTCGGCTCGTGTGTTATTCTTGGCTTACACACGGGTTGTATGTTTCACAATGGGTCCGACCCAGCTGGGCCGAGCCCCACGCCATGACTCACCGAGGTTTCTCTTCGTGTGTGCGTGTGCGTTGCTTTTGTGTGTCATAGTACCACTTGGCTGCGCAGGGCTGTGCAACAGTTGCCCGTTTCGGGTGAATGGCGCGCGAAGAAAGGTGATGATTTGGCCCAGGCCGCCTTGTGGGCACGCTTCCCTGTGATAGCACCTCGTGGGCAAAATTATGCCCTCGTTGGGGTTTCGGTGCCTCTGGCAGTAACCTGGCCCGTGCATCTGGGGAAGGCTAAATAAACTATGTCTGTTTCTATTATCTATTTGTTCCCCTACTCTCCCTTTTCTGTTTGTCTCTGTCTCTCTCTCTCTCTCTATCTTTCTTTCGCTCTCTCTCTCTCTCTCTCTCGCGCGCTCTCATAATCCATCAGCTGTGAATGATCTTGCCCACGTTGTTCGGCCCTTCTCCCATGGGGAGGTGCGCCTCTCGGCGCTGGAGGTGGGTCTGTTGCCTCCCTGTGCTGCTCCGTATTGTGTCTCGTCTTACTGCGTATGCGCTTCGGACCTTTTGCACCAATCCGCAACGAACCGAGACGGGGAGGAGGAGCAGAGGGGGAAAAGGAGGAGCAGAGGGGGGGAGAAGGAGGAAGAGGAGGAGGAGGGGAAGGAGGAAGGAGGAGGAGGAGGCGGAGGAGCAGGGGAAGAGGAGGGGCGCTCCAGGCTGTCGCCTCGCGACGCCTGCGACGACGAGAGGCCCTCGGGCGCACCCCGAGAACGGGACTCGCCCGCCCTGGCCACGCCGAGCTGGTCCCGGATCTTGTCGACGGAGACCCACAGGACGTCGGGGGGGCGCCAGCGGTCGGGATCGTTGCACCCACCCTTCGCCGTTTCCCCATCCCCAACCGGACCCCCGCCATCGCCCCCCCCCCCCCCCCCCAGCTGGGGATCAGTACTCTGGGGACGCACATCAAGAAACCGAGTGCTTTTCGTTCGTCAGGAAACCCTGCTTAGAGAATGGTGGCTCGTATGCTAGTTGCACCCTATGTATAAGTATCGCAAGTAGCATAGCTACTTACATGAGCGACTTATGTGTACTTACTAAGGTACTTATAAGTTACTTAAGTTGATGTTCTTAAGTTACTTGAGCTAACACTATAAGATACTTATAAGTTACTTAGGGAAATGAAGCGATCGCGATCGCTTGGGAGGAGGAGGAGGAGGAGAGCGATGTCGATCGCTGTGAGGGGGGGAGGGGGGGAGGAGAGTGATGAGCGCGGCGGGGCGCGCGGCCTCCTCACCGCGCGCGGCCGCGTCCTCAGTGTACGCGCGGCCTCCTCACCGCGCAGGGGGCTCACCCTCAGGGGCCGCCTCGCCGCCCTGCCCGTCGCGGAAGAAGGCCAAGCAGATCGCCTCCGCCTCGCTCATCGCCTGCAGCTCGGCCTGCTGTTGGAGCCGCCTGAGGACGCTGGAGTCGTTCCACCCATCCCCGCCCAGGGACACGAGCAGCTCCACCAGCTCACCCTCGGTGGGAGGGCGCACGGTGGCGCTTTCGAACTCCCACGAACGCTGGACCTCCATGGCCTGCTCCCTCTCGGCCGACGTCATCCGCGAGCGCTCCCAAACCGCAAGGTACTCGGCGTACGCGAGCTCCGCCTCCTGCTCCGCGGCGTCGCCGTAGAGCTTCTTCTCGGCCGCGGCCTTGGCGGCTTGGGTGACGCGTCGCCAGATCATCTTCGCCCTGGCTTCGGCGATGATCCAGCCTCCACCCTCGGCAGTTGC